TCGGGCTGCCGGCCGAGAAGAGTGCTCATAGTAGCAGTATTTCAATCGCTTGATGGGAACAATGCTAGATCCAGAGGAGCACGCCGAAAAGAGCATGCTTTAGGATGGAGGAAGTTAGGGAAGGGGTGTGATGGAACCTGAGGATAGATAAACCAACGTCAAACGCCTAGGGCGCGATAGACTGATCAGACACTTGAGCCTTTACACGCGCCTGGACGTTGCTCGACAGCTGCGATGTGCGAAAAGGCGTAGACTATTCAGTCGGCCGGAGAGTAGCTTACCACTGATCTTGCGACCCCTATCCGTCAGTCCCCTAGCTGGGCCGGGGAAGAACTCATCGTAGTCAAGCTCTTCCTGTGCCAGCTGTACATCGAGCGACCACACGGCCAGTGCAGCAAGGTGATGAAGCCACCCTATGTCTGCTCCATCTTACCATCCTGCCCGACTCCTGCCGTTCCGAGAAAGGCGTCCCTCGGCCCGTGCAAGCCACATGCTCGGGGTAAAGACCGGGTTGTGATTGCTATGCAGTAGCACGAAGCTGAGAGGAGCGGGTGATGCTTGGCATGCAGCCACCACTGCTTGAAGCAGACAGGCCTCAGGCTGGCGCGGGCGGGATTTGGGACTGAAGAATCAGCAAAAGACGTCTTATAGAAACCCCCGATCGTGCTTGGTTTCCTCCCGTACTGGGCCTTTCGTGCAAGCCGTCTCTGGTTCCTCCCAGTCTCTGGGCTTCTACCAGACTCGATCATGGCACGCTTCGCTCGAGATCTATTATTGGCGGGTGTGCTCTCCATCGCGGTGGCCGCGCAGACCGTCCGGCACGATGGCCGGACCGTTGGTAAGTTCCCGTGTCGGTGGAGATTAGCAACGGGTCGGAAATCATGCTGATATCACGTAGAAGCCAACAGGAACACCGTGCCGGTGGCGGCTGAGACTGTCGACGGAGTGCTTCAACTGACGGATACGATCCTCGAGAGCCTTACCAAGCGGGGTTTCGGCCATGTGTCCCTGTTTCAATACCCGGATGACTCCAACTCGGCTTACGGCGGCAACAATGGGTCCTTCACCGGCTGTAAGACCTTCCCAGGGGACGCGTTGTGGCCGTCAACGGAGACCTGGGATGGGCTCGACCAGCTCACTGGTGGGGCAACAACGAGCATTACAACAAGACCAAATGCCAGGACCTGTTAGACCACTGGGGAAACTGGGAAACTCAGTACGTAGAGCCCTACAGGAGAGGTTATCCAATATGGGGAACTGAGAGGTGTTTACAGTGCGGCTGATCCGACTTCCGTTATGTCGCCCCTGTTCCAGGGCGCGACGTGTATGCCGGAAAAAGGGCAAGACGGTAGCGAGTGCAGCCTGGGCGGCTTTGCCAGTTACTCGGTCAACGTCTCGACGGTCGCGCAAGTGCAGTTGGCCATAAATTTTGCGCGCAACCTGAATCTCCGGCTGGTGATCCAGAACACGGGCCATGACTTCCTCGGCAAGGGTACAGGAGCCGGTGCGCTGTCGTTGTGGACGCACAACCTGAAGTCTATTGACTTCGTCGAGTCATATGCGAGCAGATCGTACTCAGGCCCGGCGATGAAGCTCGGCGCTGGTGTCGAAGTCTTCGAGATGTACGAAGCTGCTGACAAGTACGGAGTCACCACCGTTGGCGGGGAGTGTCCCGGCGTGGGTGTTACTGGGGGCTACAGCTCCGGTGGTGGTCACCTCCCCTGTCCTCGGTACTCGGGCTAGGCGCAGATCAAGTACTGAGCATCGACGTTGTCCTGCCCAACGTGCGTTTCACCACAGCTGACGAGGACAACCACCAGGACGTCTTCTGGGCCATTCGTGGCGGCGGCGGCGGGACTTGGGGTGTCGTGATGAGCATGACGGTCAAGGCACATCCGAAGATGAGCTTCTCCGGCCTGACCTCCAGCATCACCACTGGCAATGACTCGCTGGCCAACTACACCACGGAAGCTTTCTGGGCTGCGCTGGACATGTACTGGCGGCAGTTTCCACTATACGCCAGCAAAGGCCACTACGGCTACTCGAGTATCTTCCACCGCACTGACGGCATGCCTGGATACACCTGGACCTTCCACCCCTGGATGGTCCCGGGGACGTCCCTGCGCGACTTCAAAGCGTTGCTTGCGCCCCTGCTGGCGGACTGGAAGACGGTAGGGTTCGACAGCGAGCCGGCGTACTTCTCGCACGACAGCTTCTTCTCGAAGCGTGGCGGGGCCACTTCCCCGTCGAGCCGGTGGGCGTCGCGAACCGGCGGACCGCCTCGCGGCTGGACGCGACGCTGCAGGCGCTCCGCGGCGTCGTCGAGGACGGCTCGGCGCTGATCCAGTACAACCTGCGGGGGTGGGCGGCGAACGCGGTGTTGCCGGCGTGGCGGGAGGCGGCGGCTGCGCGCCGTCAAGCGCCGCCTCGACCCCTGGGACCTCTTCTGGGCGCCTACCGCTGTCGGCAGCGAGGGTTGGTACGTCACGCGCCAGCGGGACTGGCTGCTGACGCAGAATGGTCGCCTATGCCGCAAGTAGAGGTCGAGACACGTGGGTCCGGGGGCTGCTCGGTGCGCAGACCATGAGCGTGGGGGGATGGGTAGCATAAGCGGATGCGGTAACGAAGCAATGATCATAACGATATTCCTTATGCCAGATCCTTCTCCTCTATCACCAGGTCACCGTGAATTGCTCCTCCGTACGCATTGCTGGGTTTCCATTTCCACGTCGCGCTGATGAGCTTGTCGTGGAAGATACAGGAGACGTGATCAGCCACCATATCCTCCTCCCATCCGTAATCGCGAGGGTCTTCTGTCAGATCCGGAAAGGCATCGACCTGCATTGCCATTCCTACGTTGCGTGTTTTCCCATGGGACCACCTCGTAGGATCGAGGTCGCCTAGTCGGCACCACCCCAGGCCAGTTGTTACGGTCACACGATCCGTAGGGCCTTCGCCGTGGATATGCAACATCAGCAGAGCCTTCCGGTCTCTCAAGCTGCATTCACTGACCGAACAGCGGCCTTCCAAGCTTCGGGGTGCCCAACTGATCCGGAACTCCTTGAGACTCGGTCGCTTCGCGAACGGGATTAGGCGGAGCGTGGGTTGTCGGTACCTTATATACATAGTCCTGAATCCAGAGGAGGATGTGTCATGCTTAAGTGCATACAGGTTGCCAGATCGTGATCTTAACCGGTCGTAAACGAGGGAGCCCGGAAATTGCGGGCGAAGTGCTACACAAAGCACTGTTCCTCGAAATTGACAGTTGATGTAGGCTAGACACAGATCGCCTTCGCCCGCATTCGAAAGAGTGACGGCTAGTGTGACCTTCAAGCCTCTTCCAGTCAAGATTGGGGGGCCCCCGCTGGAGTCTGGATCTCCTCCGAGCAGAAGATGGGATCTGTCATGGTGCAACTCCTGATATTGGAATCCAGAAACCAGATGTCGTGTGGAGAAAGACGACACGTGTGGTGCAAGCAGACCGCTTGGTAAAAGACTGCAACCCCGCAGATCAGCGAGTAAACGATCATGGCCTCGGGACGAGTTTTCCATCAAGTCATCTTGGACTACGGTGTTGAGCAGAGCCTTGGAGATTCCCCAAGCAAACAGGGTATAATCCTCAAAAAGTCCAAGGATCTCTTCTTGGAGCCTCTGAAACGCGCGCTCGCCCTCGCCGTAAATGAGGGGCATGTTGACATTGAACAAACCCATGAGAGAATAAGCCTGGTCTTCAATGCGAGTGGTCTTTCGATCGGCTGCCCATGACAGTCTTTCAGCGGCCGATAATGTCGAGGGGTCTTTGCCTTGAAGTACAGCTTCTCGGATGCCGGTAATCCTGGCAACGTGCCGGCAAAGACTTGATCGCGTGCCAAACTGACTCCAATCGGCGGCATAGAACTCGACCGCAACGGGCGCGATCAGTTCTTGTAATGTCCAGCCTCTCTGAAACCATCGACACGAGGCGAGTTTGGATTCGTCGATGATGATGCTACAGAGATTTGCATCGGAGGGGGGTTCTCTGATAAAGAGGCTGGTGTTCGTCGATACGTCTTCCAAGTACGCGTAGCAGACAGCGGCCAACTTGTACCAGCGGTACATGGAATTGATAGCCTCAGAAAGCTCTGCGCTGCTCGTTTTATCTATACTGGAGGTATGTTCAGCGCTGCAGAAGAGATTCTCGGACCAGCTCTTACCAGCAAGTGTCGATCCATACGTGTTGGTACCCGTCCGTCTGAGCCTTCGCCGCACAGCTGCGGAGTTTGGCATAACCAGCCTTGGCCTTGATAGACTCATCGGGCTTCCACAGCTCTTGAAGAGAAACTTCTTCCCCGCCCCATGTGTGCGATAGGATTGCGTAGGGAGGACATCCTGAGGATCCAGGTTCCGGGTACTCTCGGACGACGAGATCGGAAGTGTCCAGCAGACGCATGTTACCTGTCCAAAGTGACCGATGCCGCAAGGACGGTTCCTCTTATTCTCCTTCGCAAGACGCCGCCGACGCGCTCTCGAAAACGCCTCTTGCTCAACCCTTCAGATTTGAGTAGTAGGTACCTAGGTACTTGAGTAGGTTGGTGGCCGCTTGCATCGAGGTTATGGGCGAACCTTGGTGCAGGCCTCAGGCTGACGGTGTTCCTCTGAGGGTAAGCGCGGCGCGCTCTCGGGTCTCCAATCACTACGGGCCCACGGCAATTGAGAGCGGGCGATGGAGCTTTCAATGGCAAGCCAACCACCATCGTCAAGCCTCCTGTCTTCTTCGCAAGTACCAGAAAATGGCACTGGAATCCGCTATATCAGACGGTCGCCATTATGACTGTGTGTAGAATTGAGCTCATATTCATCTGAAACGAGCGTCAAAAGTCCATCAGTATTTTACTATCGGTTGAGGGCCGCATTCTGAGTTGCCGGTATTACTATAGGGCAAAATAAGAAGCCGACTTCCAACACCGTGTGAGGCGAATGCCACACAGGATGCAACCGACGGACTTCAAAGGTCCGACACTGCTCGGTTAGCTCAGCTGGTTAGAGCGTCGTACTAATATTCGCAAGACTGCCTTGCTGAATATCAAGTAATGCGAAGGTCATGAGTTCAATCCTCATACTGAGCAAACGCTTCAATCCCTTGAAGCACCTCTTTCTTTACGGGCAATTGGTCTAGGGGTATGATATCTGCTTCGCATCCATGTGCTTGCAGAGGGTCCTGGGTTCAATTCCCAGATTGTCCAAAGAATTATCTTTTTGCAAGTTTTCCGTCTTCAACACTTGCAGAAGTGTTGGCGACAGTCGTTCCTTTGCGAAGTTGCAAAGAGTTGGAATGCACTTCGTAGCGAATGCAAGTGGTGGGTGTGCTTCCTCGGGCTGTTCACCAAGAGAATTTTTGCTCCGAATGGCCGACGAGCCTCCGGTTAGCGGAGGCTAGCTCGGGCGATCCCACCACCAACTGCCTCCATCCAAGTCTATCCATGTCCTTAGCGATCGTCCTAATCCGCCTCGCTCGCCTTGCCATGGTGGCTGGTGTGCTCGTACCGGTTCTAAGTGACAGTTCATCAAGCACGGGTTTGTTTCATGGTGACATGTACAACTGAAAACTGATAGTTGAGCCGCCACCATGACGCATCAGGAAGAGGAAACGTGTTCATCGAACGAGATGATGCCAGAAAGGGGTCCGTACGGTTGAGGTAGAATTCCATCGTCGTGGGCGGCCTCACAAGCACTGGCGAGGATTCGCTTGATGCCTGACAGCGCGCGCCCGTGTCCCGTTCCTGCAGACTCCAGAGCCGATGCTGGCGGGCCGGAAGCCCCATCGCCCGGGTCTTGTGGGCCATATCGGTTGGCTGGAAGAGGCCACGGAGCCTCTACCGCGTTAGGCAGCCTTTGGGAGAGTTTTCGGTTCATGAACGACACCGTTTGAATGAAGTCATCGAGGAAGACCGGGGTTCTGGTTGACAACTTGGTCTTCTTGGGTTGTTGAAGTGCCGTTGTGGAATTGCCCCTGGTGGCATTGCTACCGTTGTCTAGGTACCGTAGCGTGGAAGGGGGGTTTCTAACAATCACTGTCAGCGCCAACAATCATAGTTTGCGGAACTACGATTGAATCAGGAACAATCACTGTTGGCTGACAATCAAAGTTCAGTGGGTCAATTAAAAAAATGTAGCTATTTGATTGGCTGCATCGACGCGACAGGGCTTAGTCATCGCGCCGGTGGTTAAAAACTAAAAAACGAATATTTTTTTGCACACGCGCCGGAATCGAACCTCGAACCTCGACCAGACGAGGAAACAAGGAATAGGACACATATTACAAGCATATCACAAACCACTACGGCACTTTAAACGATTATGAATTACGACAGATTACAGGTTACAGGTTACGAGAAGCACATCGGCGGCTTTTTTCAAGGGCCTATATTCTAGGGCCTAGCGCAGCCGCTAAGCCTTTAAAATACCAGGTTTAATTGTCAGCCAACAATGATTGTCAGCTCTAACAGTGATTGTTCAGAATAGGGGTCCCCCGCTACGGTACTTAGGTGCGAACCTGTGCAACGTGGCCGGCGCCTAACCCGCTCCAGCCATTGAAGCCCCACATCAGGGTTGTTGTGGCTTATGCAGCCCTTTTTTCCGTACCGGGATTCGCAAGGTGGGATAAACTATCAATAAATGGTTAATAAACAGTTAGGGTGTCCAAACGTTAACCATTTAGTAAAAGGTTAACAAACAGTTTAATATTTATAACAGTCAAAAACAACTAAACGTCTAAAAATTTTCAAACGCTAAGGGGTCTAAGCGTTTAAATAAGCTAACGTTTTAAAAAATTTTAAGCATTAAAAACTTTAAACATCGGGCGCTGTCTAACCGTCAAAGCCCGTAATTAAACGTTAAAACTTCTTAACATCCACTAGCTAATTTACACTACAAGGCATTGCCCCTAAGCTTATATTATTAAAAATTTAATTACAATAAACGTTACTCGATTTTTAAAATGCTTAACTATTTAACGCAATCCACCACGATATATATAACATCTAATATCCATTTATTAGAATATTTAACCTTACCAAATAATTTCTAGCAATATTACAACAAACTTTTATTCCTATATCAAACTATACATAACCTCCAACAAACATATTTATGCCAATAAACTCAACTCCACCTCAACCTATCTTACCACCTAACCACTAACAATAATAAAATAAAAACTATCTTCACATAAAGCCAACGTCCTAATTAATATAAAAAAACTTACAATTTTCGGGCATTAACTTACCTATAAATGCAAACTTCTAACCATTATCGTCCACCTTAAAAAACACTATATATAATATAACATCTCGTAAACTTAAAAGCCTAATAATAATAAACTTACCATAATTATAAATATTAAAACCCGTAAACAAATCCTTACCCTTATTACTAATAATAAATATAACGATAAAAAAAACCCGAATATTACCTTATCCTATATAAATATCAAACTCGACACTATATTATCAAAAATAATACAAATAAGCTTAGAAATATTACTTACTTACTACGACATTATAAGTAAAGATTAAATTAAGCCGGCCATATTAAATTACTAAATCTTCGTCGATATACTCGATATAATAACCCCGCTCCTTAATCACGCGCCCCTTTAAAAAAATTAATATTCGTTATAAAACCCGTTATAAAAGCTAAAAATTTTACTAAAAATATAAAGCACCGCACCGTCGCGTATAATATTAAACTTAACGCCAAAAAAAATAAAGCATATATTTTCTAAAGTACGACTTATTTATTATCCCATAAAATTCTTTTCTAATAACCAACATACTATCCAAAACCTATAATATCGGTCGATCGGTTATAATATACTCGGTACGCTATAACCAAATCTTTTCAAAACTTTACATTTATATCTAATTCTCTCGCAAATAATAATAAATCCTTTACCTTTAAACAACATACTACCAAAATCTTA